ATAGTTATTATATTTTGCTTTTATAGTTGCTTTCATTTGTTCCTTATACAATAGCCTTAGTTTGCTAGTGTTGATCAATTAAAAATAACAAAACTAACAGTATTCTTATATTAATTCATATTAGAGTAAACTAATTTTTTTCTTGTAGAATGCTTCATCAGTCTATCAGATTTATGAAAATACTAAGCCAATTAACTATTCAACCTTTGAGGAAGATTATAAAAATAAGTTAAGTATAACAATCTTGACAACTACAAAGTGTAGTCTACCTAACCAATCACATACAACAGGAGATGTGCTTTTTGTAGCTATAAATGCTCCAACAAACAGATTTGCGATACAACAAAATTCCATTTATCTAAACTCTATTTACTGAGACTAAATTTTACTTAGAACCCAATTAAGTAAACTCCTTTTAAATGTATCTATATGTCTCAATATAAGCTCTTACTATTTGAACTACAAATCATAAACAGCAAGGAGAATTAATAAATTATTATATGAACTCCAGTTATATAAATTATATATTTATTTCTCAATTGGTTCAGATAAATGGAATTCTAGAGTGCCTCATTTCACCAAATGAAATTTTAGAAGACATACAACCTGTGATGGTTTACGTGGCTCACATTGTGTAAACCACTTTAGAGCACCATACATACATAATACATACACAGGTATGTATTATATGTAAATTGTTTTGAGTAGTAGGTACCAACTATATTACTATATCAAAGATAATTTAGAATCATTAGCACGCGTGCTTAATACGCCGGCTATCTGAATCATGTAAAAAGTTTGAATAGAAAATCAATGAGAAAGGGACGATCCTTTTCTTTTCTTTTCTTTTTTTTCTTTTTTTTGTCATTTTTCTTTTTTTTTCTTTTCTTTTTTTCGTCCATTAAACAAGTATACCTACAGTATAATATTTATGAATATTTAAGAATCTATACTTTCATAACCTAGTAATGTATACAATTCGAAATGGTGTTACGATCTACAATTGTAAATTCAAATAGGATTATACGTACGTAGCTCCGTGGAGTTCGCTAATTTTATCATTAATTTATTTAAACCGTTTGTTTCTTTTACTAAGCAACGATCATTACCGTAATACTTTGCATCAAACGTTCGCAACGAACCGTCAACTTCTTATTGCATTATGTATATATATTCTCTATCGCAACAGGTTCCATTGTTTGGCGGACTAATATGAGATTTAAATATACGAACGAATCTCGACACGCCATCGGAGATCACTCATTACAAATAGGTTATTTTTTTTTTTTTTTTTTTTTAAACATTCTTACGATAATGTTGTGCAAATGTATTTGTAAATCATCACATTAAATGAACAATCGAGGTAGAAAAGTGGTACAGGTGTATTTATCAACGAAACAGAGGCAAATATAGAATATAATATTTTTTCATATTTCTAATTTTCAAATTTTTACGAGTACCGTAGGGATATGTATATACATGTATATATATATACACATAGGGTGTAGGGTCTCACGAACAATTGAAAAATTTTGTCAAAATATTTATAAATAACTATAAACTATAAAAAAATTTATAAAAATTATATTTATAAATAAGGATTTAACTCCAATATGAAGATATGGATAAGAGTATTGATATATCTAATTGCCATATTAGAAGACTGTATACTTAGTATTTGTTTTGTTTGAATAAACTATAATAATATATAATAACATTGCTAAATAAACAATAATAGGCTATAATAACATTGCCAAATAAACAATAATAGGCTATAATAACATTGCTAGGTGAGACTTTTATTAATCAACAGATTAAAAAATAGCTATGATCCTTATTCATTATGTTAAGATTAACAATAATTTTATTGATATTCAGTAAATATAATCAATGGAAGTACATTTACTTGAGTGTATATAAATATAAGCTAATCATTTTAAACAATATGTATAAATATTAATACATACCAGTGTTCTATATATTTTCATACAACTTTAAATAAATAATTAAACAACAGTTGAATAGGTCTCATTATTTGTGCTTGATATCAATACACCTTCCATATCTTGGAAATGGAGACAAAATAGATCATTGGTGCATATGCCATTTTTTTACTTTAAACAATATTCTGAACATGATAATGAAGTTTCTTTGCTCATAGAATATATTGTACATGACAATAATTCTTAATTTATTTGTATGCTTGATTCTTGATTATTAAAGATATTAGATCCAGTGGAAAAGTTCTGTCTTTCTTTTAGATCTTGGTCACCATGCACCATATACCAACAGATTCGTTATTTATTTAGTTTTAAGCTTTAAGCTATATTATTTGAGCAAGTCAAGTCTTAGACATGACATAGAAGGCATTACACATGGTATGCATAAAAGTAAAGATTTGCTTTACTTTACTTGCAAGATCACACATTGGTTTTATCGCATGATAGACAGTTGCAAATTTAGAGTGGAGAATTTTGCCACATCCACTATATCTTAGCTATAGATTATCAGTTTTTTCAAGTGTTTTGAAATGACATGAAGTAAAAGATTTTCAACAATCAAATAGGTGCATGGAATTATTTAATAAATTATTTTATGAGTAAATCAGTTGAATTCTATATAGAACATATATATTACTGTCCAAAAGTTTGGAATATGAATACTACATAATATAGTACATAATATATACATATAATTTATATAATAGCATACAATACATACTATTAATTATAATATAATATAAATATATAATATAACTAACTATAAAATAAAATAAAATAAAAGATTAATGTAGCTTAGTATTTCATATCTCTACTATGTTTATTAGTACTAATGTCTCGATTTTTTCTTTTATTGCTTAATTAATATACTATATTAAAATTTTATTTCAATATACTAAATATATTCCAATGTTCTATTCTCTCGTTACAAAATTAACTTTCCATCTTATTTACCATTGTCTGTTCTCACTTTCTTTTTTAGTTACTAATCAATTATGGGAATAAAGATAAACTCGTTGTAGTTGTAATTTAAATATATAAAAACTTTAACATGCATATTTTTATTATTAAGAGTCTAAGTTCTCCTATCATTAATTTCAATCTTTTGGACAGTAATCTATACGATATGGAAAAACGTTAACTATGCATTTTATTTAGCATTTTATGCATTTTATGCAAAATTATTTTGTGGTTTCAAACCACATTCTTCAAAATCATTTAATCAATATTTTTTCATTATACACTAGCAAATTACTTAAACCTCTCTACAATACCTGATAATCGATTTCAGCTCGTATGGGTATGATGTTGAAGCAAATGCAAACTGGTATGTTGACGTAATATGGTGACGTGTTAACGTGACAGAACGATTAGAAAATTCGAAGAGTGACGAAACTTCTATAAATCTGTGTTGTAGTAACTCGCGATATTATAGTACCATTTAATTAAATAATATTCCTTCTACATAATGCTATTTACTGTTTGCAAGTATTCAAATTAAACGAATCAAACAATGTTTCACTTGTACCACTTCTCCTCTATACCTCTCAATTATACTCTAAAAAATCTATAATAAACCTGTGAACCTAAGAATACGTACCATATTTGTCCAGCAAGCAAGGACTGATGTTTGCTGTGAACATGTTCAATAACATGCAATAATATATATATATCTCATAGATACAAAACGTAAAAACGTTCAATACTGAAAATTTTGCTATCTCTGCGATTTCTTTGAAATTCGAAACTAATTAAGCAAAAGGCGAAAAAAGAAGAACGAAAAAGAAGAAAATAAAGTAATAAAAGGAAGAAGAAATTATATCTCGTTTGTTTCTTAGCATACGTTACATTCTTTAAAGTTAAACAACTTTAGCGTAAGTAGGATCAAGAGCACCAAATACCAACAAGTACGTCTACTAAAAATATAGTACAAGAATAAAATGAATATACACCGCGTTTGCAATTTTTCCTTTTCACCCTAATTCGAAAATATATCGCGTGTGTGTTTCGCGCGAGCAACGAGCTACCCTTTATACCGGGTGAACAAAAAGTCCTTGTTCACTGCTAACGATTCTCCCCTCTTTCTTTCCCTCTATAAATAAATAACGCTCAACAAGAAATAAATACATCTTCGTTGAAACTACAAACACCTGTTCCGCCTATACAATTCTTTTCGTTTTCGCGGCGCTGCAATCGCTAGAAATTAATGTTCCTCCATCGCGATCGACTCGTGGCAGAGGCATCGAACAGAGGCGAGGCCTTGACTCGATTAAAACCGAAGGGAAACATTACCCTCTCCGCAAAAATAGGCATAAAGATAACAAAGTAAGACCTTGTACAATTTGGACGAAATAAGGGATAACGACGACGCATCGGTACAACGAACGTCCCTCGAACAAAGCTAGGACAACGACAAGACACAGATAATATAGAATTCGCTCTTCGCTGCACGTAAATAGTCCTTCCACCGGAGAGAATAGAAAAAGAGAAAGAAAAACAGGGAAACCGTGTACGAGAGGAACGCAAAGGATGCTAATAGCCAAGCTTCGTCGCGAAGCTGTGCGCGAGAATGGAGAAATTCGTGTGTATGTACATCCGTTTCATTCCATGGGACATTGCTTTTTTTTCTCTTTTTCTTTTTTGCTTTAAAGGGGATCAGCATGGAATCAGCCGGTGATGATGGTGACGGATGATGAAGGATGTTGAGGCGGCAACGTCTGGGAGAGTCGTCGAGAAGGTGGTAGGTGATGAACGGTTCCCAGAGCATAAGGCAGTTTTGCTGTCGAATGTGAAAATTCGCTAGACCAGCTTGGGGACACCATACACGATAATTTTTATCTCAATCTGTTCGACTCCAGGCGCCCAGCGTGTGCTTTTGTTCCCTGAGACCAGACTAGCTTCCCAGAGACAATTAGAAGACAGTCACGGCCTTGTCGTGGTCAGCAAGCGAAGAGCTAGCTCGTTAGGTCAACAGTTGTGATTAGTAGTGCCATCATTCACCTGTGTGCCGCCTCCAGTTTCGTAATCGGCCGTACGGTGCTTCTCCTCCATCGGGTAGTGAGTCCGATCCTTGAACATGTTCGCCATGCAGTTCGCCTGCGAAAAGAGTTCGGAATGTGACTGATCATTAGGCGTGTAATAAGGTCGGCGTAATAAAGTCTGATAATACAGTCAAAATATACATGATAAATTTAAAGCAGAAAATATTGGTTAAACCTGATATGTTAATTATGTAATTATGAGGATACAGTGACTGAAAAAACGAAAGCAGAATGATAAACCGGTTAGATAAGAGTGACTGTCTAAATCAATTTTAATAATAATATTCATATTTGGAATAGTAATTTTAATAATGATCCTAGTAATATTTTTAATATTAATTCTAATGACGATTTTGATAGTAGCTTTAATAATAACCCTAACAACAATTTTAATAATACTTCTATTAACAATTTTAATAATTTTTAAAATATTTTGATAACAATCTTAATAATATTCATAATAATAATATTCATACTTCGAATAGTAATTTTAATAATAATCCTAGTAATATTTTTAATAATAATTCTAATGACGATTTTGATAGTAGCTTTAATAATAGCCCTAACAACAATTTTAATATTTATATTGACAATTTCAATAATTATAAAAATATTTTGATAATAATTTTGATAATAATCTTAATAATATTCATAATAATAATATTCATACTTCGAATAGTAATTTTAATAATGATCCTAGTAATATTTTTAATAATAATTCTAATGACGATTTTGATAGTAGCTTTAATAATAGCCCTAACAACAATTTTAATATTTATATTGACAATTTCAATAATTATAAAAATATTTTGATAATAATTTTGATAATAATCTTAATAATATTCATAATAATAATATTCATACTTCGAATAGTAATTTTAATAATGATCCTAGTAATATTTTTAATAATAATTCTAATGACGATTTTGATAGTAGCTTTAATAATAGCCCTAACAACAATTTTAATATTTATATTGACAATTTCAATAATTATAAAAATATTTTGATAATAATTTTGATAATAATCTTAATAATATTCATAATAATAATATTCATACTTCGAATAGTAATTTTAATAATGATCCTAGTAATATTTTTAATAATAATTCTAATGACGATTTTGATAGTAGCTTTAATAATAGCCCTAACAACAATTTTAATATTTATATTGACAATTTCAATAATTATAAAAATATTTTGATAATAATTTTGATAATAATCTTAATAATATTCATAATAATAATATTCATACTTCGAATAGTAATTTTAATAATGATCCTAGTAATATTTTTAATAATAATTCTAATGACGATTTTGATAGTAGCTTTAATAATAGCCCTAACAACAATTTTAATATTTATATTGACAATTTCAATAATTATAAAAATATTTTGATAATAATTTTGATAATAATCTTAATAATATTCATAATAATAATATTCATACTTCGAATAGTAATTTTAATAATGATCCTAGTAATATTTTTAATAATAATTCTAATGACGATTTTGATAGTAGCTTTAATAATAGCCCTAACAACAATTTTAATATTTATATTGACAATTTCAATAATTATAAAAATATTTTGATAATAATTTTGATAATAATCTTAATAATATTCATAATAATAATATTCATACTTCGAATAGTAATTTTAATAATGATCCTAGTAATATTTTTAATAATAATTCTAATGACGATTTTGATAGTAGCTTTAATAATAGCCCTAACAACAATTTTAATATTTATATTGACAATTTCAATAATTATAAAAATATTTTGATAATAATTTTGATAATAATCTTAATAATATTCATAATAATAATATTCATACTTCGAATAGTAATTTTAATAATGATCCTAGTAATATTTTTAATAATAATTCTAATGACGATTTTGATAGTAGCTTTAATAATAGCCCTAACAACAATTTTAATATTTATATTGACAATTTCAATAATTATAAAAATATTTTGATAATAATTTTGATAATAATCTTAATAATATTCATAATAATAATATTCATACTTCGAATAGTAATTTTAATAATGATCCTAGTAATATTTTTAATAATAATTCTAATGACGATTTTGATAGTAGCTTTAATAATAGCCCTAACAACAATTTTAATATTTATATTGACAATTTCAATAATTATAAAAATATTTTGATAATAATTTTGATAATAATCTTAATAATATTCATAATAATAATATTCATACTTCGAATAGTAATTTTAATAATGATCCTAGTAATATTTTTAATAATAATTCTAATGACGATTTTGATAGTAGCTTTAATAATAGCCCTAACAACAATTTTAATATTTATATTGACAATTTCAATAATTATAAAAATATTTTGATAATAATTTTGATAATAATCTTAATAATATTCATAATAATAATATTCATACTTCGAATAGTAATTTTAATAATGATCCTAGTAATATTTTTAATAATAATTCTAATGACGATTTTGATAGTAGCTTTAATAATAGCCCTAACAACAATTTTAATATTTATATTGACAATTTCAATAATTATAAAAATATTTTGATAATAATTTTGATAATAATCTTAATAATATTCATAATAATAATATTCATACTTCGAATAGTAATTTTAATAATGATCCTAGTAATATTTTTAATAATAATTCTAATGACGATTTTGATAGTAGCTTTAATAATAGCCCTAACAACAATTTTAATATTTATATTGACAATTTCAATAATTATAAAAATATTTTGATAATAATTTTGATAATAATCTTAATAATATTCATAATAATAATATTCATACTTCGAATAGTAATTTTAATAATGATCCTAGTAATATTTTTAATAATAATTCTAATGACGATTTTGATAGTAGCTTTAATAATAGCCCTAACAACAATTTTAATATTTATATTGACAATTTCAATAATTATAAAAATATTTTGATAATAATTTTGATAATAATCTTAATAATATTCATAATAATAATATTCATACTTCGAATAGTAATTTTAATAATGATCCTAGTAATATTTTTAATAATAATTCTAATGACGATTTTGAAGTATATCAGTCAATATTATATGTAGCAAAAAGTGTGTATTCTGTGCTTCGTTTCTATACAACAAGCGAAGAAATTTGAAATTCACGTGCAAGTTGAACAGAACAGAATTGTCATATTTGAAGCATTATATTTTTGGTTTGGTTTTTATATTATAACGAAATACCGTACATAAATATGTGATTTAGAGGTTATAGTAACGATCTGTTACTTATTCAGTTTTTTGTTTTTTATTGAAATAATTTTATTGATCATTTTATAACGACACCTTTCAGAAAAATATCAAATATTTTCAAAACAAAACATAATTTGAATATAATTATACTGTTACACAACCTTTTGGGCATATATATAACTTATCCGGCCAAAATTTCAAAAAAAGAAATTTGGCAGTTAATGGGTTAATACTTGCAGGATAAATGAATGTTTAGGCAAAAGTAAAGAGGTAGAGTATAAAAATTAAAATTCGCGGAAATTGTTATTCAATTAGGTTTCGAGGCTTCTGAATTATGAAAATAATATTCTTTATCGAATAACTTTTAAATAACATTTAACAAATAACATTTAACAAACATAACGTTTTGAGCTTCGATGAATTTTAAGCTTTCGAATCTATGATTTCTCATCTCTAATATTATTTACGTATTACATATTTATATTTTAATTACCACTTATCTATCATGTAATCGTTACATAGTCGTGATTTAATTATTTCTAACCCGAACTTCTATCGGCGATTCGTGACGAATTAATAATTTGATGGAGCAATACACAGAAAATATGACATAGATAGGAATATTTAAAATACATTATGCAGACGTGTGTTTGTTTTCTTTTACTGCTGATACTGTTGGGATGATGGAACAATAATTCCGGATAATCCAATATTTGGATAACATGTGTTTGGTTAATCGAGGTTTCTACTGTGTCGGTAAATAAACTCCACAACTAATTTTGAAAATGGGGGATATAATTTTGAAATCTCGATTAGGATGACATTTCTTTTACTATTAAATAGATCAGTAAACAGAGAACGAAATAAATAATTATAGGATGGCGAAACTGGTCTTGAGACACCGAAAATTCACGAAAGAACAAGAACACGATAACGCAAACTCAAAACTCGTAAACAGATTTAACTTAGGAAAAGAACACCAAGATAACGAAAACACACAAAGATGCACTCTTTTAACACTAGAACTACCAACCCAGTGAAAATGACTGGTCCCAGAATTTTCCTTTTTGCAATCACCGAACACATACACCTGCTTTAAGAATAAAATTGGTATCAACTCGTATTAAGAAAGAACTGTAATCGATATATTCATTCGTATTCATCGTATCGCTGAAATTACTATAATCTGTGCACGTTATAGTTAGGTACCCATTAAAGATTGGTAGTTCTAATGTTAAAACCCTCTTTCCAACACCAAGCGACTCACGCTGGTGCTGGTCACAACCAATTTCAAAGGACTCTGTTTTGGTTGTCAAGGACCACGCTTTTATGCTTTCCTTAACCTACGCTTCACCTCTCCGTAGGGGAGTCAGGCAACTTAATTTTGTTATATAGAATAACTTTTCGATTTGCTTCTAGAAGATATCGAACGGTTTACAATTTGTTTTTGTTGGCAATAGCCGATTCGCGATTGAGAAATCGATGCACGTAACACGTTCGTCGCTGCGTTACCCAAATCTAAGTGACGAGTATGCTTCCGTGGGGGCCCCGTCACCCAAATATGGGTGA